TTTTGAATTTTTTGAACTACTCGAAACACTGTGTTTTACCAAGAGTATGATCATCGAAACTTCGACAACCATTTGATGCGATTCTTCAGTAGTTTTCTTCAAATGATAACAAGAAACCAATGCTGTCCGCAAATCGTAGTTCGTAGGCACAAAACTCTACATGTTTAAGATTATAGAAAAATATACCGGTGTATGGAACTTGGGTTGTTGTGTATTGAAAATCATCGTCAGCTGTTAGTGGGAGATAATGGCGCTGTAAAAGCGGTCTTACGGTCCCTTAACTGATGGCTAGCACCATCTATAGGGAAATTCCGGTTTCATACTTCTACACCTGGTACATGCGACTGAGCACGGCCTGGCAGACCGAACATGTGACGAAAAGCGTGACCGCCTCTTCGTTGGCGCGCGTTTGACTACGCCCGACTTGATGTGGAGAGTTTTGCGGACTTGCGCATCTCTCCGAGTAAGGCCTCATATCCGTCGAAGAGCTCACGAAAAGCAGCCTGAGTGATCCGCCGTTCCGTCGAAGCTGCGACGCCTTTCGATTCATCCGACTAATCGACCGACAGCCAATCGTTTATCAGCGCGAGCACGTAGTTTGTGGAGCGAGGAAGCGTGCGAGCACCGCCTTGTTTAGCCGAGTTCGAGATTGCCACGTCGATTTCTCTCGAACTCTAGTCTCGCAATGATGAGACTGCGGCAGTGGCGGCGGCGTCCAGTCTGTCATTGCGAGGCAATTTCAAAAGGTACCCTGTGGAATGCCGCGTTCTTCGACGCTGCCTCACAGATGCAGCACGAGTCGCTCGCCGAGCGCGGACTTGGCCAAATCGTCTGAAACGTCGTATAACTACCGAGGGTCGTCGGTGACGTAAAATTGCTTAAACGGTGAGGTTACAGCCGACAGGCGCTATCTAGCGATCGTGACGCAGCCTTTGTCGGGCGAGTAATTTGCGCTCTACGAATTCTCGATAATTGAGCACCACCTTTTTTATTTAGGTAGAGAAATATTTTACGCATGGTCCAGGAGCTCGGATGTATTTAGGACTCTTCCGTTTCACATTCTAAAAGACAAGCATACCCTTCAAAACCCCTGACGCGATTCTACTATGGCGGTTCAGCGCGAACACCACGGGCATCAATAGCGTCATTTTCCTTCATTTTCCCGCAGTGTTTCCCTCTACGCAAAATATAAACGTCCTAACCGAGGTTTCAACTCCCGATCTGTTTCTTCGCGGCGAAGGGCGATATAGCCTTTCCTCTGTCGCGCTGCCATGTGGGGAATGTTTATCGGGGTCCCTGTCCCCGACCAGATACCGCCAAACACTTCCATTTTTTACTGGCGGTCCGTTTATAGGACAGCCGGTCATGTCTCTCCCCGGAAAGGCGTGGACGGTGTCCCACGTTCTCGGGTTGCCCTGTTTTTTGTTGCTAGGAGCGGAGGGATATATACTCCGCCCCGGACTTGGGGATTCATCTTGGCCGGTGACAGGAACCGCATAAGCGTGTCCCCGTCACATGTAGTCGCCTTCCTCCTTATTAGTGGGCGAGGTTCTTTCATTCTGCGGAAGGAAGGAAAGAGCTGCACGCCTTAGTTACCCCTCCCCCCGCAGTGCCACGTTTGTATGCTCGGAGCAAGGTTGTACTCTCCCCGCTCCGGAGTGGGCACCCGTCCCAGTTTAGTGGGCTAGCGCCCGTCACATATTTTTCAGCTGACGCCCCGTCTTAATGGACTTCAGGGCGCCTCCTCCCGGAGGTGGGCAACTCAACCCTCCAACAGTACGTCAGCCGATCCCCTTCTTATGAGCGGGAATGAGGAGAGGGGCTTATCTTCTCCTTCTCTTAAGAGGACGTCCCCTACGTCTCCCCGCAACTTCCTTTGCTACTAACAGCGGAGGGCACGACCTTTTCCTGCCTGATTTTTGCAGAAGGAGAAGTCCGCCGTCCAGTTCCTCTTGCTCCTGAGCATCGCGCAAATTGCGCTCGGGAACGAGAGGTCTGTTCCCACTACCACGACCATGTCCCGGCGCCGCACTGCCCACGCCGGACAGTGTTCCAGCGTGTGCTGCGCCGAGTCCCGGTCGGCCGCGCAGTGACGGCAAGCCGCTATGCGCTACCATCCGATAAACCGCAGGTTCTCCT